GCTGCCACGGGGGCCGCGCACCGGGTTCGAGCATGACCCGACCGCCTGCTCCGAAATCCGAGGCTGTTGCTCTTGTCTGTGTCCCACCGTGGCGAGGAGCAAGGTCCCCTAGATGTGTCTCTCCGCTGGCGCTCGCAGGGAGAAGGGCAGCTCTCCGGAGGGCTTTGGTAGCTCAGGTTGTACATCCAGACGTCGGTTAGCAGGTGAAGTCCTCAAAGGTGCCCCGGGCCGGGTGATGAGGTAGGATGTTGGCTGCGTACGTCATGCCTGCCGGGTGGCCCCGTATGCTTTCACAGGGATTCTGCGGAGCAGAGGACGGACGGGATGCTGCAGACACCCAGACCCCCGCAGAGAGCAAGTCCTGTGTCCCCACAGCACCTCTGCCTGATGCCTCTGCTCCTGTCCCAAGCCTTCCCCAAAATGGTGACCCCCACCCCACGGCACATCTGGGGCAGCCTCTGAGCTGCAAGAGGGGAGCGGTGGCTCCGGCAACGTGCCCGGCACTTACGTGGCGTTTCACATCGTCCATGCTCAGCGCGACGCCCTTGTCCGTGTTGTTCCTTTTGTGGTTCTTGCGGCACTTTCCCCGCCGGCACAGCCGGTGCTTTATCACCTGCAAGAGCCAGATTTCAGCTCTGTGGGGGCTCATGGGCGGCTCTTCCCCACGTCCCACACGAGCGTTTCTGTGCTCTGGGGTAACCTGGGCTCCCTGGCAGCTGTGGGACGGCAGAGATGCTCACCTCGTAGGCGTAGTCGAACAGCTCCAGTACTGTGAGGATACTGGCCCCAATGAACAGCCCCATCTGCCCTCCGATGTCACCTGCAGAGCAGAGAGAAGCCGTCAGCGGGGCTCGAGTCTGGCGTCCAGCGGCAGAGAGAGCAGAGAAAGGGCAAAACTCATCACTGCTGTGACCGGTGCCTGTTCGTGGCAGCGGGATGCCCTGCGCTGCAGCCGCGCTGTCGGCACGTCCCGGTGCCTCCGAAACAGAGCCGACACGAGGCCACCTTGTTGGGGGATGCCGGCTGGGGGCTGCCACCGGGCCCCCAGCACAGCCACCCACACTCACCCAGCAAGCCGGCCACCTCGTACGCCTTCTTCTGCTCAATCGTCTCGTAGTTCAGGGCTTCGAAGAAGATATCCAGCACCAGGATGTTCTCCCTGTGCAGGATAGGAGTGGTGTCAGGCTGAGGTTTGGGACAGAGGGAGAAGATGCCGCCCCGTCCCCGCAGCCTCAGAGCGTTACCCGATGTACTGCTCCGACTTGTTGTACTTCTTGGCCAGGTACTTGGCAGAAGCCTTGCTGGGGATCTTCACCATGGAGAGCTCTTTGCCGTAGCGGGTCACGTTGCAGGGCATCTCGCAGACGCAGTACTCGTTGTCCTTCTCCACCAGGAAATCTGGGCAGGGAGAGAGGGAGACGGAGAGATGGAGAAACCCAACAGCCACAGCTGGGTCCCACAGGGCCGGGCAGCCTCACCTAAGGCCGGATCCGCGCACTCCTTGTACTGCTCCGGGGTGCAGTAAGGGGCATCGCCTGGAGGAGAGAGAAAGCAGAATTTTCCTGGTGGGACCGCACCGGTGGGCTGAGGCTGGGGGGGGCCGGACCCTGGCACATGTGGGGCTCACCTGGCATGTGCACCATGCGGCAGTTGCAGTTCTCCACCAGGTAGCGGGTCTCGCAGTCGATGCGGCAGGCGGTGATGCTGTAAGTGTCGTAAAACTCCGAGTCGCCCGCCGCGGCCTTGCAGTCGCCCCAGGGAGGCGGCAGGTAGATGAGCTGGGAGGGGGGCAGAAGCCAGGAGGGAGGAGAGAAGCCCACCGGC